CGGAGGGGAACAAGTGCGGAGCTGATGCCAGGGGCTCAGGTGGAGGGCAGGTGTTTTGGGAATGATGAGGGAAACAAATGTACAAAAGTACTTGACACAATGGATATATATATGGATTGTGATAAGAGTTGTACGAGCCCCCAACAAAATGATTTTTTTTCAAAGCTGTCATTAGGGCAGCAAACTGGTTTTTAAAGTATTTGAATCACTGGTTTAAAGTATTGAACCACTGGTCAAGTTTATCTGTGTACAGGAAGAAGCACTGGGTAGTGTCTGAGCCTTTGTGGGCCTGAGCTTTATAGAATTAGAATGCATCTGCTCCCGAGGCTCCCAGAACCTTTTAATGCAGGAAGCCTCTCCGACCACCTAGCAGTTGCCCAGAACCAAGGGAGCCGCCGGGAGAAGAGGCTTGTCTTCCCACCCGCTTCAAACCAGAGTCTCTGAGGCACCGCTGAGCAATGCCAGCATCCCAGAGACCCTTGTTGAAGCCCCTCTTGTGGTTGAAATGTGATTTGGCCAAGTTCTCACAGAATATTTAATTTGTCAAGAACATATGTAATTTTCCATTTTGGTTCAGAATATGCTCGCCGCAGATTCAATCCAACCTTTCAAGTTGCCGTTGTCAATATGATCTTACATAGTGAATTCTTCAAGAGACCTAATGCTCAAAGTTGACGTACTTTACAAATTAAAATATTCTCTCTTTTTTTTTTTGTCCCCAAAAAGACTCCAGGAGATAGTTTTACTTTAAGACTTAAAGCTTAAAGATGATCTCATAGTAGTCGTTTCAGAGGCTCATCCTGTCTTACAGGCTCCAGAAAGTCTGGATGCCACTGAGAATTTGAAATTTGGTTCTGAATTTTTCCCCTTTTGATGAGAATTCTTCTGAAGAATCTCTGACCCAAGCGTTCAGTAATGGTAGCTAGGCACCATCTAGGTCTTTCCTCTCGTGGCAGTTGTTCGTAGAGGCCATCGACCACAGAGGAACTAGACTTTCTCCTCTGATTCCTGACTTTCTTCCCTCTGGTGAATGGAGACCAATTGCACTTTGCATGGCTGCTTGCTGGTGTTTAAGCCTCTGTCACGAGGCAATGAGTAGATAAAGCTGAAAGTGTGAGAAACACTATTAGACTAATTGATTGGGATGTCCCTGAAAGCTCAGAAAACTAAGACAGCAACATTTTTCTTGTGCACAGCTTAGTGGTATCGTGTAATTTAATTGATTGTGTAACTATTAACCTTAATGTGTGTATTTCCCCTCACTATAAACAGAAATCCATTGCTTCCCAATCACTGCCTCCCCCCCTTCCACTCTTTGAGTAATTTGTGAGAAGATTCCATTATCTTGCAATTCCATTGTTATAGGAGAAGCCCTGTATAAAATTTGGTCAATACATATTTCTCTATATTTTTGTGGTAAGAGATTACACTCATTCTTTTTTGTTAGTTGGTTTTGTTTTGTGTTCTTAAACATTTTATTGAGGGCCCTTACAGCTCTTGTAACAATCTATACATCAATTGTATCAATCACATTTGTACATATTACATCATTCTTGATGAGCATTCCCGTTTTCACTTCCCTGCTTTCTAATTTCCCCTCCCAAGTGAACCTCTTTCTACATACAGTGCTTGCCTCAAATTCTGCTTTGGGGAAGGAAGATGATTTCAACACTTCCCTCAGCTCCCTGGGTTTGGAACGCACTGTTGCTGAAGCCATGCTTGGGTTTCTGCTTCCCTCTCCATCCAGGATATCACCAGCTTGCTGCACACCATCTATGAGGTAGTAGACTCTTCTGTCAACCACTCCCCAGCATCAAGCAAGACTCTGCGGGTAAAGCTGACAGTAGCCCCGGATGGAAGCCAAAGCAAGAAGTGTATCCTTCTCAATCCTGCTGGTGAGGGCCACCCTGGGGGAAAGTGGTTACAATGACCAGACTCTGAGATATTCCATTTAACTGTCAAGGAGGATCAAAGTCCTGTCTGGGAGAGGCCAAAGGCATTCTGGGGCTTCCTTGGAAGCTGCTTTATGAATAAAGTAGGGTCTGAGTTGGTCCTGGGGTATAAGATTTGGTTAGGGAAGAAGAGGGAAAGAGAAGGAATTCAAGATGGGAGGGCCTGCTGTGGGAGTAGAAATGGACATACCAGGCAGCCAGGAAACCTATGGAGCTGCAGTAAAGGGATGTGGTGAAGGTGGGGGTGGGGGTGGGGTGGGGGTTGGGGAGGAAACAGGGAGGTAGGTAACTAACTATAAAGCTTCTCTCTTGGGCGAACACAATCATTTTGAAGCTGCAGTGGGCCACTTTTCAAGTGCCTGGCAGATAAGAACACCTTGCAAGACCAGGAAGCTAGCAGGGCACAGAACAAACTGTTTACAGGGTAATTTTGGGGCTTCTTGGGGTGCTCAGACAGGCAGAACTCACGACCCAGAGTGGAGACCAAGCCCACCGAAGAGCTTCGAAGTTGGGAGAAGAAGCAGCGAGCCCCTCTCAGGTATGGGGGGCATGGGTGGAGGTAGTAGCTGTGTACCTGTGTGTGAGGGATTCCAGAGCAGGGAGCTCCCCAGGAACCAATGGTTTCGGAGTCAAGGACTCACAAATCAAACTCTTATTTTAAAACAAAACAAAACTAAATAACTAAAATGCACTGCATGGGATAAATACCAGAATTCAGAGCTTTCTGCATTTTAGAAAGGGGCTCCTGGTGTACTTCCCACATACTACATGTGGGGTTTGGACAGCACCTCATTGTACTAACATGTTGATATTTCTGAGTGAGATAACATTCACCCTAAGCGAGCTAAGACTCTACCACCACACCTGTTTGGGACCAACTTTGCCACCAACGTGCTATGAAAAAATCATGTGGCTTTTCAAGCTTTGGGACTTCAGAATTTCACATAAAGGATTATGAAGCTGCACTAACAGGAACAGCTATTGCTGTTATTTCTTTGTGGGAGTTGAGGGAGGAAAGAAAGGAAAGGTGAATGATAAATCGTATGAGGACCGTGAATGATAAATAGTGTGAGACACCCACCCTGCCAATGGTAAGGGGATGACTAGCATGTGAGAAGCACCAGCACAGGGACAAAGAGGGCCCACACAGGGACACGGTGTCAAAACTGGTATGGGTAGGTAGGGTTGCCCATGGAACCTAGGTCTATCTAGGTTGGCTGGAGAGAGAGGTGTGTGTGTGTGTGTGTGTGTGTGTGTGTGTGTGTGTGTGTGTGTTGGAGTGGGTGGTGGTAAGGCAGGGAGGTACGAGTTGATAGAACCCAAAGGGCCTTGAATGGTAAGCACAGAACCCTGCAGGAGTGTAACGATGAGCCACTAGCAGCATCTCTGTTTCTGCCCAGACACATTCGTGAAAATCCCACTGGGGTTTAGGGTGAGCTATGGATTTGGCCGGTCTCAACTCTAATAATCTGTGGGACTCTGGCCGCTCATTTCCCCTGGGAAACCCGACTGGGATTGAGGCTGCTTACCTGTGGTGGGCACACAGTTTGAAGACCAGTAACAAACCCTTCACATTTGCTTTGGGGCAATCCTCCCATAAGCCCCATCAAGGCTAGGCAGGGGTTCTTATTGCCATTGTTTGGGGGAGGAACCCAAGCGTAAGCAGAGATAGCAACTCTTCCCCCAGCCCCCTTGTCAAGACCCAGAGGAAATTAATGAAAGGGGGTCCAGAGGACCTGTCACTAGCCGGTGGGACCAGCGTCCACACTCTTCTCCTGTGTAGGTCCCAGGGCCACAGTCGCCTGGAGCAGTCTGGCTGCGACCGCCACTGCATGGATGAGAACATCGAGAGGAGAAACCACTACTTAGACCTCGCTGGGATAGAAAACTACACCTCCCAGTGTGTGCCGGGTAAGGCAGCTCTTGTACCTTTTCCGGGAGGGTGAGGACAGTGGCTAATGGAGGAGCCAGGATATATTATGTGGTGACTGCCAGGGTGCAGGGGACACATAGCTACTACTGGACAGGTCAAAGAGTCTTCTTAGAAGAGGTGGTATAAAAAAGCATTTTAAAAATTGAAGTAATACATACAAAATGTAAAACAAAACCTCATAGTAGGCAAGGGCTACTCTCTTCACAGTTCTTAGTGGTCCCCGTCCTTAAGCATAGGCTGTTCTGTCTTCAGTTCTGCATACCACCTGTGGGCCTACAGACGCAGCTGTCGCTCGTGCCCTGCAGCCCCCATCTCATCCTTCCTTCGAATCTGTTGGAGTCTCTGTGGGCGACTGCTCTACTCTCACAATTTCTCGTTCCAGAGACCCCGGGCAGTTTTCAGGTTTTGCACTCGTTTCTTCGCACTCTCTCGAAAGGAGAATGATTTAGAGACTTGCCATTTAGGTCTTCCCCCAGTCGGCTGAAGTGTCCTTTGCAGTGGTGCCCTCAGAGGCACCGACCAGTCAAGAACAGCTGGCCTTGGTCAGTCTTAGAAAACTGGGCGGGGTGATTTATAGGGGAGAGTATGGCGCCATCACCTGATCAGTACCTGTGAAATGTTTGTTGACTTGGTTCCTAGGCTCCCCTTCGATGGCCCAGAAGTCCGAACTGCCCCCTCGTGCCTCCAACCCCACTCGATCTTGCTCCCATGAGCCAGAAGCCACGCACGACCCACACCGAAAGGCCCAAACCATGGATCCAGGCTCCTTCCACTTCCTTGATACCCCGTTTGCCAAGGTCTCCGAGGTCCAGCAGCGGCTCCGGGGCACTCAGGATGGGAGCAAGCACTTTGCGAGGTTCCCCAAGGGCCAGGGCAGAAGCACAAACATGGGCTCTACAGCCAGAGGGCCAAGAAGCAAACCCACTCTGGTGCCCGCTGGCTCCTCCGTGTCTCCCTCCACCCATTTGACCACCAGCCCGGCCTTCCTCCCCACGCTGGCACCCCTTGGGCACAAAAAGCACAAACACCGAGGCAAGGAAAGCCAGCAGGGGTGCCGGGGCCTGCAGCCCCTGCTGGGGGCAGGCCACACAGCGGTGGGGCGGGAGCATGTACGGGAGCTGCCTGCGGTGATGGTGTATGGGACCCAGGCTGGGCAAGCAGTCCAGAGACATGAACACCATCACCACCACGAACACCATCACCATTACCACCACTTTTACCAGACCTAGACCCCCTTCCCCGCCTGCCTGCTCCCCCACCATATGAAGGAAGCCCTGCCCCCTGGCACCCCCAGGCATTATTATTCTATCACGTATTGTTATGATGATGATGATTGTTATTAATAACTATTGTTTCTCCAGTCATATTCTGCTCGCGTCCATGTCGAAGATATATGGACACACAGAACTATTATTTATATGTTGTGCGGACTGCATTATTGACCCAAGAAATGACTGTTTCAAAGAGCACCCTGTTCATGGCAGGGGTTTCTCGGTGTCCTGGTGAATCCTCCAGACCCTTTGGAAGCCCCAGTATGAGCCCTGGGCTAGAACCCTGCCCCTATAACACTCTTCCAGAAGAACACGTGTCTAACCTGGCTTCCAGAGACTCTTGGAATTTCTGAGAAGATAGACGGCTGCTACCTCTTCATGTTAGTCTGCGCTGATTTTGCCCTTACCTGGTTGAAAAGTAACACAAAGGGTTTGTGCGGACTGCAAACCGATGACCATGTTGCTGGTCTGTTTTTCTGCCCTCACCTGGAGCCCTCTTACCCCAACCAGCCCCGTCTTTCCTGTCACGTGGCATGAAAATCCACCTCTCCTTTTCCTTCCCTCGTCTCTTCTTTTTTGGAAAGATTCACATCTTTAAAGCCAGCTCAGAAACTAGCCCGCTCATGCTGGGAACCATTGGGGAGGAAACCAACCACATCACAAGCATGGTTTGCCAAGCGCTCTTGCTGGTTGCAGCTGAAGGCGTAGGCACCTCATGTTTCAGGGTTGGCAAATACATATGTACCCACAGGGTCGTGAACCAGAGCTTTTTGTATCTGTAAATGGCTGTCATTTGTTGTATGTGTCTTTCTTAAGTATGCACTCTCAGGTAGCCTTTTTGCATGGAGGTTCGCGCAGAGCTTTCTGAGTTAAGAGGTGAACCTGGGTGCCTCCTGTTGGGGCTGACTGGTACCTTGTCCTAGAGCAGCGATTCTCAACCTTCCTAATGCCGCGACCCTTTCATACAGTTCCTCATGTTGTGGTGACCCCCCAACCATAACATTATTTTCGTTGCTACTTCATCACTGTCATTGTGCTACAGTTATGAATCGGGCGACCCCAGTGAAAGGGTCATTCGACCCCTAAAGGGGTCGCGACCCACCGATTGAGAACCGCTGCCCTATAGTTGCTATGAGTCAGCATTGAGTCGGCAGTGAGTTTGGTTTGGGTTGGTTTCTCTATAGGTTTGATGAGTTTTGAGTTTAATTGAGGGACTGTCTACACAGTGCGGCCCAGCCTGAGAGGCTGTACTACTTGGCAGCTAAGACTCTAGGGTGCCAGTCTGAGTCTAAGCCTGAGGAGGTGAGATGCGCAGTCACCGTCAGCAGGTAAGCGAGGATGGGGTGGCCCCTGTAGCATCTGTGGCCTTCTGTTGAGAGAGGCCGTCAGTCTGTGAGAAATTCAGCTGCTGCCCTGCTCACATGCCCTCTCTGGCGTCTGCGGAAGCACCATTGGCTGAAGCCACCGGGAGCTAGATGGCAGGGAAATGTGTTGATGGGCTACACGGACAGCCTCCCAGGGTAGACAGTGAATCTGGAGAAACCCCCTCCAATAAAAAAAGAAGTGACACCTTTCTGCTAATTTGTCCGTTATCCAGGATCCTCTTTCTGTTTGTTATTTTTGCTGGCAGTGGGTTTAATCTCCGGCCTTCATAGGCTGCCCAGATGGGGCCCTTGGGCGGGGTCATTGCATGGGGCGTGGCCATTGCAGGGGCGAGGCCTGGGCAGGAGACCTAACCCTAATGAGTTGTTTTTTAAGATAGTGCAGCGACTGTCACCTTAGGTTTGTTCACTGCTGAGGTACCTAGGTCGGGACTCTGTCATTTTGTTCACTGAAAGCTCAGGAAGCACAGGTGAAGCTCGGGGTAGTTCAGAGATTCGCTGGAAACCACCCAGTAGATGCGGAAGTCAGAGATTAATACCTGAACCAGAGACCTCTGGCTGGTGGGGTTTTGACCAATCAGAACCCAACTCAAACAGAAGGCTGCCAACCAAGGGAAAGCAGGAGCAGGCGCCAGAATTCAGGATGTTAATGAAGTGGAAACGTACTGGTTTTTGTCCCTCCTTGGTGTAGCTGGAGCCCTCGTGGCTTAGTGGTTACAAATTGGGCTGTAGCCCACAAGGTCAGCAGTTCAAAACCACCAGCTGCTCCATAGGAGAAAGACTGGGCTTCCAACTCTTGTAAAGAGTTATAGCCCTGGAAACTCACAGGGGCAGTTTTACCCTGCCCTATAAGCTCTCTGTGAGTCAGAATTGGCTTGAAGGCAGTGAGGCTTTGGTTTGGGCTGGTTTCTCTGTGTGTTTGTCATGCTTTGGGCCCGATGCTGTTGCAGGCACAGTGCTATTGAAAGCACAGCCGAAAGGAAGGACCTCTCACTATCTCTAGTCAGAGAAGGATGCTGACTGGCAAGGCTTACATCCAGTACGATCATCGTCATGGCCCATCTGGGACCACATGTCTACCTTGATGCAAGAGGGCAGGGTCTGTACCAGAAAAACTTAGAAGGGTGCTGAGCAGACAACCTTGAGCCTAACCATGGGCCCACAATTGCTGCCACCATCAACACTCCCAGGGATCCTCTCTGAGAGCATTTCCTCAGCTCTGAAAGGAGGGCTCCACCCTCAACCCCCACCTTAGTGCCATGTCTGTCAGATTGTCATTACTTTGTTGGTAATTTGGACTTACATCATTTGTAGCATACGATGGGGGATGCCCATAGAAACCAGGAAAAAGCTCCGTTGGGTGGAGCTTTCAGAGAAAGCGTTTTTCCTGATAGGCGAGCATTGAGCAACCCACTCTGAGTTAGTGCACCCAGTGGTGTTGCCTGGGAAGGTTCTCTCTGGTCACAGTGAATTTTTTCATAAATTTGCTCAAACCTTGGTTTTTTGATGGCCAATTTTAGAGAACAGTGTGTAGCTGTGAAATTTTCTTTCCTGCTTGGGAAAAATGCTGCAGAAACTGTTGTGATGTTGAACACAGCTTACAAGGACAATGCTATGGGATAAACTCAAATGTATGAGTGGTTTTCTTGTTTCAAAAAAAATGTTGATTGATGACAAACCTCATTCTGGGTGTCCGTCAACTTCCCAAACAGACAAAAGTATTGACTTGCTAATGCATTTGGAGTTCATTCCACCAGGTGAGATTGTTAATCAAGCTTTCTATTTAAAGGTTCTGAAAAGATTTTGTAACAGCGTATGATTTGTGGCAGATGGGGACTGGTTTTGCCACCACAATAATGTACCTGCTCATGCAGCCATCTCAGTGCGCCCATTTTTGGCAAAAAACAGCATGCCTCTCTCGCCACATGCTCCTGACTCACCTGACCGAACACCAGGAGACTTCTTTTTGGTTCTGCAAATGAAGAGGGACATGAAAGGACAGTGATTTGATGACACAGAAGAGGTGAAGATAAAAAACAAGGGAGGTGCTGCCAGCCATCCAAACAGATGTTTGAAAAATACTGCCAAGAATGGAATTGCAGATTTGACAAATGTACAAAGTGTCAAGGAGAGAAACTCAAAGGTGATAAGGTTGTTTTGTAAAAATAAAAATTCAATAGATAGCTTGGCGGGGAAATTCTGGGGTTTTTTTGGTAGCCCCTGGTATGAACATGTAAAAAGGAGCTCTGATAGAGTGGTGGGTTCAGCCCTGGGCTTCTAGTGGAAATGTTTGTACACCACCTGCTCCTTGGGAGAAAAATGAAGCTGGCTATTTCCTTAAAGGAAACCTCATGGACCTATTTTACTCCATCCCGTATCATTGCTGTAAATCAGCACCAAGTCCATGGCCATGGAACGTGTAAAAGATTCAAATACCACGAATACATCAAATAAAGTTAAAAGTACAATAAAAAGTCAACTTTCCTCCATCCCCGACTATCCAGCATCCTTTGGGGTCTTTCCCAAGCTGTTGAGTCTAGCGTGATGGGTGTGAGCAGGAGTTTTGGTGTCTGCTGGCTGGGCTCAAATCCGGATCCACTCTTTCAGCAGCTTGGTCAGTAACTCTGGGCTTCAAGGGAAACGCTCTATGCCTCCACATCTCCATTTCTTCTGTATTTCCTCAGTTTCCAACTAAAACCTCACACCTGTCACCGTGGAGTCGAGGCCAGCTCACAGCCAGACCAAACTCCACAGGGGTGTCTGGGTTGTGATGTTTAGAGGACAGATAGCCAAGACTCTGTGGAGCCACAAGGTGGGTTTGAACCACCAACTTCTCTGTGATCAAATACAAACCATTTTTCCCTGCCCAGGGATATCTAAAAGTACTATGAAAACATGAGAAAAATAAATGCTTTTAGATGAAACATCTTCTCGCTTAAATTTTATTAATGTAAAAAATATTTCCAACAGAATTTAAAACAGAAAATTGTGCAAGACCAACTGAACTCACCACCCAGATCTTAAAAATGCGGATGTTTTGCAATATTTATTCCCGATCTCTTTTTAAGTAAGAAAACCCTGTAGTTACTGTGTAATCTCCTTCTCACTCTGCGCTTTTGTTTTGACAGGAGGGGTAGCTTAGCATTCATCCTTGCACCCTCTTTCTCTCTGACCTCTCTGCTTGAAGATCTTCCCCACTCTGTGCTGGAGCTCTGCTCCTTTCCCTGACCCCTGACAGCTCCTCAGCCTCCTACTGCAGGGAGATGGCATCCTGGACTTATCCATGCTGCACTGAGGGGCCTGCATGGCTCGTCTTGGTACCCACTGGCAGGACCGGGCAACTGTCCTGGATGTAGAATTCTTTTTCACAGGCTGGCTTGGGCAACATTTGTCCTGAAATTGGTTTCAGAGGAGCCATTGTTGCCTGGCCGGGACCCTGAGCTCCCCGTTGGACCACCTCTACCAGTTTCCTTCAAGTTTCTTCGACGCTGAGTTACAATGAGCCCAGGAATATGAGGAGAAATGTGCTTCACGGGGTTTTCCATGACTGGTTTTTGGGAAGTAAATCACCAGCCCTGGTGGTTCTGGGTCAACTCAACCACCAGGCTCTGGGTTAACTCTTTGCACCACCCAGGGAGTTTGAAATCCATCTGGAGTCTCAAAAAGTTAGAGACTGAATATATTCTTAAACATACTGGCTGGTCAGTCTATAGGTGCATGCCCCATTTCTCCCAGAACTAAGGCGCCAACTGGACACAGAAGTGTGGCATGTCCCAAAGGACAGGGTAGAGCCCCAGTCATCAGGGCTGCTCTCGTCTCCAGGGAACAAGGGGAAGCCTAGGAGGGCCTTACTCACTTCCAGCTGGCCATGGCAATTATACTTTTTGGCAATGAAAATGGCCATTCTTTTGGGGGGACCTTTTCTCTTTTTCTTAATATTTAAATTTCAACTTGTGGCTTGATCAGAGGGAAAGCAAGGATTGAGGTGGCAGGAGGAGGGATAGGTTCCCTGTACCTTGTCTGTCAGGTGACAACTCTAATACTCTGAGCATGGCTTTATACACTCAAAAACATATTGCCATTGAATAAATTCCAATTCGTAGCCACCATGGAGGGTAGAGGGCAGAGAACTGCCCCCGTGGGTTTCCAAGACAGTAATTCCATGGAAGTATAAGGTTTTATCTTTCTCCCTAGGATTTGCGGGTACTTTCCAACTGCTGGCCTTTTGGTTACCACCCAGTGCCACCAGGGACTTTGAGGGCTGTACAATGCAGAGCAAATCCACAGGATCTGGCCACTTTGTGAATCTTTAAGCGAACCAAAGAGCCCTGGGGGCATAGGGTTAAATGCTCTGCTGCTAACCAAAATGTTGGCTGTTTGAGTGCAACCGTGGTCCTCAGGAGAAAGACTTCGGATCTGCTTCCATAAAGTTCACAGCCTAGGAAGCCCGAGGGAGCAGCTCTACCCCATCACCTGGGCTCAATAGACCTCAACTGAAAGGACCGCCCACAACCATGGCACTCTTCATTCATCCTGAAAGATTGATCACTCCTCAGTGCCCTTTATTTGGGGCTCTGGTCTGGCTTTTGGTCT